AGTTGGAGATGAAACTAATTCTTTATTTAAAGTTCTTTTAGTTTGTTTTTGTTAGGAGTCGTAAGTCAAATTGTCATTAGTATTTTTTTAAGTTAAATATGGAACTTATTCTTTTTTAAAGATCAGTTCTTTTTTTTAACGGTCGTAAATCAAAATTTTTTTAGATTTTTTTTGTCAGCGCAAATCTTGTTTAAGTTGGAGATGGAACTAATTCTTTATTTAAAGTTAAGTTCTTTTAGTTCGTTTTTGTTAAGGGTCGTAAGTCAAATTGTCATTAAATTTTTTTAAGTTGGATATGGAACTTATTTTTTTTTTGAGATCAGTTCCTTTTTTTGTTAGGGGTCGTAAATCAAAACTTTTTTAGATTCTTTTTGTTAGGGCAAATCTTGTTTAAGTTGGAGATGAAACTAATTCTTTATTTAAAGTTAAGTTCTTTTAGTTTGTTTTTGTTAGGGGTCGTAAGTCAAATTGTCATTAGTTTTTTTAAGTTGGATATGGAACTTATTCTTTTTTAAATATCAGTTCTTTTTTTTTCTTAGGGGTCGTAAATCAAAATTTTTTCTTTTTGTCAGCGCAAATCTTGTTTAAGTTGGAGATGGAACTAATTCTTTATTTAAAGTTAAGTTCTTTTAGTTCGTTTTTGTTAGGGGTTGTAAGTCAAATTGTCATTAGTTTTTTTTAAGTTAGATATGAAACTTATTCTTTTTTTAAAGATTAGTTGTTATACTTTGCTTTTGTAGGGATTGTAGATCAAAATTTTGTTTAGATTCTTTTTGTTACGCCAAATATGGAACTTATTCTTTATTTAAAGATCAGTTCTTTTAGTTCGTTTTTGTTAGGGGTCGTAAGTAATATTATATATATATATATATATATATATATATATATATATATATATATATATATATATTATTAGATTCTTTAAGTTGGATATGGAACCTATTCTATTTTTAAAGATTTGTTCTTTTAGTTCGTTTCTGTTAGGGGTCGTAAGTCAAATTGTTATTAGATTCTTTATGTTGGATATGGAACTTATTCTTTTTTTAAAGATCAGTTCTTTTACTTCGTTTTGTTAGGGATCATAGGTCAAAATTTTGTTTAAATTCTTTTCGTCGGGTCAAATTTCAAGTTGGAGATGAAACTAATTCTTTAGGTATTTGTTCGCTTTTGAGTAGGTGAACATATTTTTTATATTCTTTTCGTCGTTGTAGTCTGTTTTAGATAGTGATTATCGTATGGAACCAGGCGCCCAGGAGTTACCTATAAAACCCTCCTTTTTATTCCTTCCATTTAGACCCATTTTAGTTCAATTTCACAATCTTTAGATTGTTGAATTAAATTAAAATGGTAGATGGATCTTGAAAGTACTTTTTGGATTTTGTCTCGGAACATCGGTAATCCGTGCTAACCCGTTTTTAACGTGGAGCATGTTGTTGCGCACCGGCGCTAATCTATTTGTAACTTAATTATCTGTCGTTTTCCTTTTTTACCCTTCCTATTACCCTAATTCCTTCATTTGGACCTGACATGGACATCTTGGACTTCTTGGAACTTCTGGGTGCGAGTGAATCTTATATGCGAGTATGTATACAACCAGTAAATTTGTTTTTTGCGTGTTTTTGTTTATTTAAATAGGTACTTTATCTGTTTTAGTAAATTTTAGGTATATAATATGATAAGGAGGGTGGAGGGTAACTCCGCCAGGTATTTTTAACCTGCCGGTCCCAAGCCCGGATAAAGGAGGAGGGCCCTCACTCTTTTCTATTTTTTTAGATTGTTTTCGTCGGGTCAAATCTTGTTTAGGTTGTAGATGGAATTTAGGTGGTTTTTGTCAGGTTGGAACTTTTTCTTTTTTAAAGTTTAAATGTTTAAATTCAAGCGTGCTCTTCACCCGCACCGATAGACGGACTGTCTAACTCTTTTGGAGCTCGTCAGTATCGGGTAGCCATTTACCTAGGTCTAAGACCGTTTGGTATGGAGCACGCTCTAAATTCTACTTCGCCGCTTCTTATATCAAACACAAGCAGTTACAGCGGTGACAAGGAAGAAATCGCATTAAAATGTCATAAATGTGACGCCTACATGTTGACGTCTTAAAGAGTCAATAATATGATTTCAGTAAGAAGTAAGAAAAGAGAATACTGTAAGATATCTATTATATGATATATATCATATAACTGAAGTCTTATTTATGATACCCTTAGTCACTTCTAATTTTGATTCCAATAAAAGGTGAGAAAAAAAGATACCTAGTTTAAGATGTTAAAAAATTGACTTCTCATTTATGAATTCATCAAGAACTCTTGAGCTCCTAAAAATGATTTCTCTAAGATGTCTATTGTAACCTCAACAGACTTCGTACAGAAATGTTTCTAAATTGGATGCTGTCTGGGTTGCCAACTCTTGAGATGCACATTATAGTATTTTCTCAATTTAATTATAGTATTTAAAAAAATATATATACTACAGATGACGTATAGGTTTTTGAGAAGCAGGAGCCCACATTTTTCCCCTTTTTTTTACCAATAGCAGTTAGAATTTTAATAAAGACATCTGTTTTATTATTTTATATAATTTATATTATCTATTTTCACAAAACGTTTTTTGTGACAATAACTGATACATAATATACTATTTTCTATGATAATAAGAGAATAAATGCACGCGCCGCGCTAATGAGCACCACGCACCACGGTATTTCATGTGGCTAGTTTTGCTTTTGCATAAAATACAAATTTTGCAGTTCTCTTTTTTTTAAATAAAATACTATTATTCAAAATTATAGTATTTTAACGTACTATATTGCGTATTGACGCCACTGCTTGTAGAATGAAAACGAATGTACCTACGTAATAAAAAACCAATATATTGAGACCGCGGTCTCTTTATATTACTCTTTCATTACTATAGTATACGTATACGTTACGACTAAAGTGTTGAACAATTATTGAGTTCCAAAAAGGTAGCAAATATGTCACTAGCTACCAACCCTGCTACTATTTGGGACGTAGCTGCTACGTTACTAGAACGTTCCAATATCGTTGCTAGAGCGTTATAATTACTTTTATTATTTGTTTTTACTTCTATATTAACTGTCTTTGTCAAACTTATATTAGATTATACTATCCCTCCTTTTTTAAATGGAACCACTACGGACTTGGCTTTTCAATGTCGTCGTACTGGTAGTTTATAACTATAATATTTAATTAGACAGGTAGATTTATAAACCCTTTAAATTTTACTGTTGAACTTATGAATTTAGTTTTTGTAAAATAAATGCGCTTCATCAATATTTAAGTATAAACAAATTATTTATTTAGTAATATTTATAAATAAAAAAATCTTAATATTTATTATTATTTTTTTTATTTAATTATTAATACCGTCTATTACCAATAATATTTCTATTTATTAAAAAGTAAACAACCATTTACAAACAATTAAAATAATTTATTATTTACATTACCACGTGGTACTGTACAGTAAAAAATGGCCGATAAGAAGCATTTTCCTTTGAAGTAGTTTTCGCTACTTTAAAGTTTTTTTCCACTATACGGTTGTTTTGGTTAGTACCATAAACGTTCCAAATACTAAAATAATAACTTTTAAGTTATTAACTTTGTAGTTTTTAACTCATGTTCCAGTTTCGAGATTTTAACTTGCAAAGGGACTACAAAGTAAAAATAATTATAATGTAATCTTTAGGTAGCAACCGAAAGTAACTGCTACAAATTAAATTTACTTGAATGTTTTTTTTACTTAGGGTGAAGTGGGGTAAGTGCGCTTTTGGGGTAAGTGCACCAATTGGGTTTTAAAAGAAAACAGTTGAGAATAAAAACTATCAGTTTGTAATTATGGATTTTTTTGCCAGATAATTTCCCTAAATATTCGAGTTAAATGTAATAACTTTATAACCGATAAGTCATTTTACTTGCGGTAAATTGCAAAAAATTCACAAAACTGTGAGTTTGTTGCACTTGCCCCGTGAATACGTTCGTACTTATAATATGGGATATAACCGGTGGTGGTGCACTCGCCCCAAATATGGGGCAAGTGCACCCACATGTTTATATTTTTACAAAAAAAATAGCTGTGGTGTCGTATATACGGTAATATTACCTTTAACGCAGAGTTTAGATCTGCCATGAGATACACCACTAAGGGAGTTGTATACATGCCAAAGACTGGACTCTTACCATTGTTCTAAAGAATTTTATTAACTATTCAATTTTTGGTTTGGACTTGGGTGGGTGCATTTACCCCACTTCACCCTATAACATCTTTTTTAAAGTTGCAAAGTCTTCTTGGGGGCAACCAAGTTTTACTTAAATGTTTATTACTTTATAGTAACAATTTAAGGAAAAATTAAGTTTCTTTTACAAAATATTGCTATTTAAAAGTTAGAATTACTTTTAAGTAAAAATTAAAGTAGCTGTTTAGTATACTTAACTAATTTAAAGTTATCACCACTTTGGCAATGGTTTTTGGAACCAAAAATGCTGCTTGGGCCTTGACGCGCTTTGCGCCTGGATTTTTATTTACGCTTAGTATTATTGATTGGTTTTTTACTTTTTATTGGGTAGAACTGTTGTAAAAATACACTTGTAATAGGCAAAAATCGTTCCTTCATTTTAAGGGTGAGGCGCGGCCTCAGAGGCCTACCCTGACGAGCCGCCACTGATACAGGTACAATTTATTATTATATTATTGTCGTGCCGCCAATTTTAAATTAAGCGGCATGGCAGTGATGACGTTATCTATTACGTCACTAGCGTGCCCGTAAAAAATAAATTGCAGGCACCTAGTCACTTCGAAATATAAACCAAAACATAATGAACTAACCACAGATTATATAGAACTAACCTTCTTTATCTCTAACTAACTAACTAACCGAGAAAACCAGAGATATGTCTCTGGTATTTACGGAACATATTCAAAAACTCGCGCCATGGAAAAGAATATTAAAACTAGGGAAATATAATTTTTTAATTGGTAACATTGCTGAAACGTCAAAAGTTTTGACACAAATAATAATATTTTTCTAAATAATGCTATAAACTTTAAATATATAGCTTAAAAATTTTAGTTTGCATTTATAAAAAATAAAGAAAAAATGTATATTGACGGTAAGAAAAATTATATTAATCATTTCATGCGTTTTTAATTAGGTTTTTTTGCAGTTTTTTCCTTTTTGGCTGATTACGGCTGGTATATCCTTGTAACGGCTATTATATCTGGGTATATTTATAATAAGTCTATAAAACATAGACTTGATAATTATTGGAAAACAAAAGATGAACAAGAATATGCAGCAAAGTACCATAAAAGTAAGACACCCACACTTTAACTTTTATCGCGGACGTGGCATTAAAAACCGCGGTATTTTTTAGATCCTGATTTATTTAATGCAAGGCTAAAAGCTCAAGAAGAAAGAACCAAAAAACTGCAGGAGCAATATAATCAAAAGTTGGAGGAATACAAGAGAAAGCAAGAAGAGGTAAATGATGTTATAATACAGTTTGGCAATACTTGAGCTTAATATACTATATTTTTTAATGTGTTTTTATGTTAATCCTTATTCTAAATATTGCAGAAAGAAGCTAAAAAACGTGAAGAATTATTAGCTGCCTTTAATAAGGATGGTCAAAGATTAGGTGCTTCAGATAATGATAAATTTGAAACTACCAAGTCTACGTTAAAATCAGATTACAACCCATTAATGGGTGCAGGGAGTTCATCCAACTACAGGCCTCCAAGAAGAAGTGCTTGTGGTGGAGGTGGTTGTGGAAGATAAATAAATAACTTATACTTTTTACTGTTAATTACTCTGACTGGATGTATTTATTAATATAAAATAGTTAAATTAACACAAACACATTCTTAAAATACAAACATGACCCTAATTTATAGCAATCCTTGTCTTTTAAGATCTTCATATGTTTTTCTGTTTACCACGTTTCCTTGAGAATCTTCATATTCTTCCTCGGTTTCTGGTTGCCAGCGTTCATTTTGCTTCTGTACTTTCAATTTTTCCCACACTAAAAAAACCAAATGCTAAATTTTGTCACATACTTAATTATTCATCCTTACAAGCAATAGCATCCTCAATTTGCGTAACATTGGCAAAATGAGCCGTGTTTGGAATACCAAGACACCTCATACCATGAGCATGTCTCCATTCCGCGAAATGCCGTTGAAAAGCTTTAGGACCCTTATAAACAAAATTACCACAAATTTCGCAGTTGTAGCTGATATTTAAACCATGCAATTTATACAGCCAATAAGGAATAGGCTAAAAAAACATTAATATAGATATATATATATGACATAATATATTGTACAACATACTTTTCCATCCCACCCCAATGGCAAATTTTTGGGGTTATATGGGACATCATCGTCACCTTCATCGGGACTATCCTCTTCACTTTCCTCATTTTCACTGTCGTTTCTTTCTCCGTCAGTTCTGGCTTGTTTCCTTTGAACATTTTCTTTTGTTGCTCCCCTTTGAGTGGACACTAAATCGGCCAGTCTAAAATAAAACAAAAAAAGTGTCATATACGAGACCTATCCCTATTAGTTGGCCCAGTGAATTCAATGGTGTAAGTTATTCCGCAATTTTTATTTAACTTCATGGAGAATAATATAATAAATACACCATTTTTATTTAACATCATGGAGAATAATATAATAAATATTGTTACAAAAAAAACTACATATTGGAAAGGTGTTGATGTTGAATTTTAATTTAATGAATTATTTTTAATAGATCTATAAATATTATTATTTGAATGTTAACTTGCAATGTAATATTAATTCAAGTATATAAAACGATGTAGAATAGGTATAACTTTATTGCTGGAATAAAAATTATGTTTAAATAATTTTAATTTTGTGAATTAAAATTATTTGTGTATAATTTTAATTCTGGAATTAAAATTATATGTGCATAGTTTTAAACCACATAGGTAATTAAAATTATACTATATATAGTATAATTTTAATTACCTATGTGTTTATGTATACATTAGACTGGGCCAAAACAATAAAACAATTTTTTTTTAAAGTACCTATATCGAAAATATGGTTTGGGATGACAAAAAAAATTATTGTGAAAGTTGAGTCCATAATATTAATATTAAGGGGTCTATCATCGCAATTTTAAAAAATTTTTCCTCAGCAAGTTTTTGTCTCAGAACTCCCAAACTATTGAGTTAAACAAAATTGACTCAGAAATATTTTTTTAAGAAAATTAAATGCTCTACAAAAAAGGTTTAAATGAAATTTTTCGTCAGATGAACCGTTTCCTTAAAATCATGCCTTAAAAATTGTTATAGTTTTACATTATGATCTTTTAACTTTATAATTTTGTAATTCATGTAAAAATCAGTACCCAGAAAAAACCGATGAATATTCTTATGGGAAATCAAATGCTTTACAAAAGAGCCTCTTAACATGGCTAAATTCACTCAATTAAAAGTTATTCAAAGTTAAAGTTGAAGTCAAAACAAAATTTTTGTTTTTTCCTCTGTATATCTATAGATTTATTTTTTTTATGGGTGATAATTTGATTTTTTTCTTTATAAATGTGTATTATATAACTAATTAACAATAAAAAAACAACATGATTGTTATTATTTAAACGATTAAATAGGTAACAGTGAAAATAATATTTTCAAGCTATAGCTTCTTAAAGCAAAAAAACTCTAATGTGTTATTTTTTTTTAATTTTCAGTAATTTTATCATCGATTAAAGAATTCAAGTTTTTAACTGACCCAAAAAAAATCTAGAGCGGAAAAAACAAGAATTTCGTTTTGACTTCAAATTTAACCTTGAATAACTTTTGATGAAGTGAATGTAGCCAAAAATATTAAGAGACTTTTTTTGTAGATCATTTGATTTCCCATAAAAATATCTATCGGTTTTTTTCCGGGTACTGATTTTTACATGAATTACAAAGTAAAGATCAAATTTTAAAACTATACCAATTTTTAAGGCATGATTGTAAGAAAACGGTTTATTTGACGGGAAATTCCAATCAAACCTATTTTGTAGAACATTAAATTTTCTTCAAAAAATATTCCCAAGTCAATTTTGTTAAACTCAATGGTTTGGGAGCTCAGGAAAAAAACTCTAAAATTGCGATGATAGACCTCTTAATATTAATATTATGGACTCAAACTTTCACTATAATTTTTTTTGTCACCCCAAACAATATTTTCGATATACTTTACAAAATAAAATAGTCGATTTTTTTTGGCCCAGTTTACTATACATCATCTTAATTGAATTAAAATTATATAAACATCATTTTAGTACGCCCATTTAAAATTATACTCTACATAATTTTAAATCATGAATTAAAATTATACTCGACATAATTTTAATTTCAGAAATTAAAATGATGTTATACACCATTTTAATCCAAGCAATAAAAATTATATTCTACATCGTTTTAAATAGTTAAATTAACATAATTATATGAAAAAACATTGCAACTTAAATAAGTTTCAAATAAAAAATAAAATATTTGTGCACCTATTAAAAAATAATTCATTGAATTAAATTTGCAATATGGAATTATTTCTTGTAACATTTTATTTTCATACAGTTCTAATAATTTTTGATGATAAATTCAACATGTGCAAGGCAGGTATTGTTTCAGAAAAATTGATGTAATTGTAATAACTTATTACTAATAAGGTATCATAAAAATTGAACCTAATTAGATATTTAAAAATAAAAAAGATGTAGACAAATTAAAAATAAATTAAAATTAATTTCCCAAAGTTGGAAAGTCCTTTTACTATTTAATGTATTTTAAATTAAATTTGTGTACAACTAAATTTTAAATAATCCATTATTTATCAAACATAATGGAAATTGTAACAATTTTAAATACGGTAAATTTTATATCTCTAGCCCATTTCTTTTTTTAATTGTACCTACATTAAATAGTAAAACGGCTTGCCATATATTAACGTTTTTAACTTAATTTTTTTATTATGATAAATTTTTAAGTGTCTTAACTCTTGAGTTATATTGCTAAATCTGCTTTGTATAGTATAAGTTTGTATTTCCATTTCTACTAGCAACAGCAAAAATAATTTGTTTTGTAGAAGAAAATTGTAAACTGACTGTAAGTAATAAATAATGTAATAGGTAAAATTTGTATTATAAATTGCGTTTTGATTAGAAAAAACTTTTACAATATTTTCTCGTGGTTGGGCCAACTAATATGGGAGGGGGCTCATGGTATATCTTATTTTTACAAGTTAATTATTTTTTTTATACAGTAAGTACCTATATAATTTTATTTTGGAATACATAACATTTCTCCAAAATAAGATTCCCAACAAACATATAAGTCTGATTATGTAATAGCCCATTACATAGTTTCATGGCTTAATAATGGCATTTTTAGCCAAGGCTTTCCTTGTACTAGGAATGTTTTAATAAAAATATTAATTTTTATAAAAGGCTGTCGTAATAAGGTCTTGCAATGGCCCTTTTTAGGCTAATATATGTATATTTAACCATAAAAGATCCATATATGGCAATTTTCGGTATGAAGTTAATGGGACTTTAAAAAACCATTGAAGTGCCAAAAGTTTTCTGTATATAAAACTTACATGAACCTTTAATTATCCTTTGGTTAACGCCATATTTTAAAAATGATGCCCAGTGTAATTCCTATAGTTTTAATAGTGCGTTATACATAAAAAAATATTACCAAATGGTTTTTATATTTAAATAAGTAAGTAGGTGCATTTTTAATTTTACAAATTTTAGAACTCTTATTAGAGACAATATACGGCCAAAGAATTTACTAGAAATGTTTAATTGATAAGTAGGCCAATTCACTAATAAGTCGTTAACGTGAGCCACTAGAATTAGTGGTTATCGTTATATTTAATCGAAATTAAAACATATAATACTTAAAAAACTTTTATTACTATTTTTAATAATAATAATTAAATTAAATTATATTATTATATAGCTTTACTAATAATAGCAAGGCTTCTTTTAAGGTGCTCAGTAACCAATTTTTCTATATCATAAGTCAAAAAAAAGGAATAGTACATTTTTTTAATCACCCAATGTATATAATAAATCTTACTTAACACGGGTAAAAAAAAGTTCGGAAAAACGGTTATAAAACCCGTAAAAAATCTAAAAACGCATTAAAAAATAAAAACTTTTTTTTTAATATAGTTACAGTATTGTGCAAATTAATGTGAACACAAATAGATTTACGTATAAATATTATTTATTGAAAAAAAATACAAACAGTACTAGTTGAATTGTTTCCGGAATAAATGTTTTTTGACTATCAAATTAACAAGAAAAAATACCTCTTATAAAAAAATATTCATTTATTCTTACAAACCGGTTTTTGACCATAGTGCGCCGTCGTTGCCGCGTTTGACTTTAAAGTGCACACACTTTTTTTATAATAATATAGAATAAAATATTTTACCTATAAATCTGAGCTTCCAACATAGCAAGGTCCCTATGTCTCAGTTGTTCTTTTTCCTTATTGGCTTTTCCCTTATTATTTTTAGTCATCAATGATGGATCCAAAGAACCTTTTCCCTTTGTTGAAAACAATCTTTGTGCCCTCTCCTCCAAGGTTCTAAAAACAAATTAAATTATTAAATAATCATACTTAAAATTTTTTTAAAATTACCCTCCACATTTTAACCCTAAAGCCAATAAAGCCGACTTCAAACGATCCAGACCCAAAGAAGCCAATTCCTCCCAACTTGAAAATGCTGAAAGATCCAAATGTGCACCAACATTTGCCAATGCTGAACCAGTCTCTTTCTAGAAATATTTTTTGAATTAAAATGTATTCAATGTATAATTAAAAAATCTTACTGGCCATCCTGGAACAGTACCGCTCTCCCAAATATTTATAATACTGTCGGCTTCTTCTTGTAAGTCTTTGTCCAAGTCCATCAAAGGTCTTATTCTTTGCACAAACCAGCTCAAGTATTCAATTAAAGTTAATAGATATTTTCTATATTCACCAGATTTTCTTTCCTTTGGAATTTCATAAAGCTGATCAAATGTGGATAAATAACTAATATAGTCCACTTTCTAAAATAAATTAACATTAGTTGAGATTATTAAATATATGTGGAAAGAAATTACATCAATTCCTTTAAGATTTATAAATTTCTCATAACATTCATGTAAATCCAAAAATTTTCCATAACCTTCCTCATCAGTAAACTCAACCAAGTCTAAAAAACACATATATAATTCAAAACAATACAAAAATATTAAAATACTTACTGGACATTTCTTCAGAGGGATTTTCTCTAGCTTTAGCAAATTCATCAAACTCAACTGACATTGGTACACTTATCTAAAATGTAAAATCGTGTAAAAATAATTCATACACTAAGTATTATGATTATAATCCAAATTAGTAGTATTATACCTCATTTGGATGCTTTCTGTAAAAATCCTTTATCTGTTTTAAACGATTATAAAATTCATTAAACTCATTGGGTCCAGTCAAAGCTGCAACTTCAGCTTTTCGTTGACCATCTTTATCTTCATACAACTCTATCAACTTTTCCGTTCCATTCATATAACGATCAAGCAAATATTTTTGCCTTTGATCTGAATTTATGGTTTCTCTGTACTAAAAATATTACATATTTTTGAATAAATGGGATTTAGACTTATATCTACAAAAACACTTACAGAATTTTTCTTGTGCAACATTTCTTTGACCATAGCATCAATTAACCTTTCTTTTTCTTCATGGTATCGCCTTTGCTGTTCCAATATAGTCTCCATGACTAAATTCTTTCAGAACAAGAATATTCTTCCTCTCACAAGTTCCAAACACTATAATACGTTTAGCCACCGAAAATCAAACAAAACATAACCTAAAAACATAACCTAAGAACATAACCTTAAATCCACAGACCGAAACTGTTGCCAACCCAACCATCGCAAAACAAAACAAAGTGTCTCCTGCACCGCCGGAGCGTTTTTTAAATTTTATTTCAGCACTGCCACTGCCTATGGTGTACTCGAGGAACTCAAGGATTTTAACATGGAGCCTACACTCCATGGATTTTAAAATCCTTGCTTACAAACAACACGGTGCTGCAATAAAATTTGAAAAATGCCAGCGGCGGCGTAGCCATACAATTTTCCGGCGGTGCAGTAGACTTTGCCAAAACAAAATCTCTGAGTATTTGTTTGTTGACATCTGTCATAGTTGAACTAACCCAACTTTTTGACATTATTCATCACTTTTTAAATATCCTGTGTTTTTAATCATGACGGACTATTTTCAAGAAATGGGTTGGAGACCCTTGGGGGAAGGAGAACAACCTGACCACTTACTACATTTTGCGAGACTTTTACGTGATTTTAACATGTTTGAAGAATTAAATGGCCAAAAATTACCTCCACCAGCTTCTAAGGAGGTTGTAGAAAATTTACCAAATCATACAATATCGGAAGATGGTTTGTACTTTAGTTATTTGATAGATTATTGTTTGACACGTTTATATTATAGGTACGCAGTGCCCAGTGTGTTTAAAACCACATGAAAAGGGGGAGGAGGGTAAAAAATTACCCTGTAATCATGTTTATCATGTTGATTGTATAATTCCTTGGTTAAAAAAAGTAATAATTTATACAGGGTGTCAGAAAAATATGTGTACCATCAAAGGCCTTCTACTAATTTAATTTAACTCATCTTACTTTATTCATCTATAGATGTTGGTGATACTTAAATGATGGTTTAAATCTACCTATTGTAAGCAAATGTATTTTGTTGTACATATATTTACTGGACACCCTGTATAAGGTTACAAATTTTAAAAGAAAATTATACTACTTATTTTATTTTTAGACCAACTCTTGTCCTTTATGTCGTTTTGAACTAAAAACTGATGATGAGGATTATGAAGCATATCGTAAGGAAAAAATTAGGGCAAAACAGAGAGAAGCAGAATTAGAATTATTGCATGATTCCATGTTTTCTTGATTTACAATTTTTTTACTTTTATTTTTTTACCTAGGTAATGGTTTTATTTAAGTTTGTTGTGTTTAAAATAAATTAAATTGAATTATAAATTTTATTATAACCACAAAACATTTCATGTTTTCTCACAGATCACATACCCTAGTGGCAATTCTGGAAAAGTCTTGGCCCAGCATGGGTCAATTGACCCATATCTTAAGATACTTTGGACAGATTTTTGCTCAAGAATTGTTCCAGATTCTTGGCCAAGATTATTGGGCAAGACTTGAGCCAGAATTTGACCAGAAATCTGAGGCCATCTATTGCTAAACTTTGGGACTATCCTATAGAGTAGAGGTTCTCATTCTACAGTAGTATCATTCACAATAATGTATACTAGTCGAGAAGTGAGTTCTCTGTAGGAAATGAGTATAGTTTTTTTGTTTATGGGAAAATACGAATAAGAGCTTATTGGATTCGTCTTCTAGCTGAGAAAAAAATTGATTTTTTGAAAAATAAAAATTGTTATTTCTAAAAATCAAAAATTAAAAAAAAAAGTGTGTGTCAGCTCTGACGCATAACTAGAGTTTACTCTTTATGAACATGAAAAATTATAAAATACATGTTTATTTTTACGGGCACCTGGTTTTTTTTTAACATAGAAAATTAAAAACTTTAACTCTTTCAAAATTTGTTTTGTTTTTGTTTTCTATTGTTTACCAGATTTATGGATAAAAACCGAATTTACTGGAAAGAAATCGTGGAAAATTAATGTTTTTAGTAACATTCTTAACTTTTGAAGTTCAACAAAATTTTGTATTGACCAAAAATCTTGAATTGAAAGTTCCTATTTAACGTGTAATCGTGTAAAAATTCTTGGCCAAGAATCTGGTTAAATTCTGGTCACAGACTTGTCCAAGTCTGCCACCAGTCTGGATAAAGAATTTTGATCAAGAGTCTTGGTCAAGAATTGTCCAATTCTTTACAAAGTGCTTCTCCAAGTATCTTGACAAAGAATCTTGTCCAATTACATTGCTACTAGGGCAGGCCCGTTCCTGGGGTGTCTGGCGCCTGCGTGCAGCATTCGTTGGTGCGCCCCTTTTATATTTAAATATAATACATTAAATATTTGAATTTTAAGCCGTAAAATTTTAAAAATATATATTTTGCGACAAACTGGCAATATGTAATTGAAAATGTAAAAAAACCGCTTAAATTAAGTATAAAAAACACGTTGCTAAGTAATATTTTAACAAAAAGCATGAGTGCTGGTGGCAACAAAAATCCGAGTCGAAACGAGGATTTTTGCTCCTGCACGAATGCATTTTGTTAAAAAATATTACTTAGCATTGTGTTTTAACGATTTTTTTCATAGGAAAAGTTAGATGCCCGAATGGTATTTGACAAGACTATTTCATGAGTAACAGTTAACAATTAAAATATAAATTGCAATTTTTGGTGACAACAGCTGTCAAGTTTTGCCGCGGGTAAACTCGAATAAACTGCTGACATGTGCTGTCATACAGTTTTTCCACCTAGAAAGCATTTGTAGTTCAAAATTGCGCGTTTGTGATTGGTGGAAATTAAGACGAGGGAAATAGTCAGTAATAAAAATACTCTAAAGAAAAAAAAAACAATCTAAACAATATAATAACTACAACTGGTTTTTAGTGACGTACTCTCTAAAAATGACTAGTTTTCAAAGTAAAAAAGCAGTCACTAATAACTTTAGTCCACAGCTATTTGTATCCCGGGCATTTAACAGCTTATTATTATGTAAAATTGTCCCCTGAATCCGAAAATACCAAAATCAAAAATTATAAAATTAAAGCAGTTTTTAAGATATAGTCAATACCATATCATATGAAAAATTTACTAAATCTCAAAAACGTTCTACTTTTATAACTTTTGACGACATTTTCGGATTCAGCGGACAATTTTACATATGAGTTGACTGCTAAATATCCGGGATACAAATTACTATTGACAATAAATATTAGTCGCTGCTTTTTCGCTATTGCAATTAGGTAGACTAATTGAATTAGTCATTTTTGACTAATTCTATTTTAGAGAGTTACTACTGTTAAACTTTGCTACCGTCAACTGCAACTATCAAACAAATACTAAAGATAATATGACCATTTCTCTCCTTTTATTTTGATCCTCATATCAAAACAAAATACCCAAGTAGCACAGTTATATGATTTGTATATGAATTTCATATACCGACGGAAACAAATGGAATCTGAATATCATATGAATTTTTATGATATTCAGGTCAAGGGCATATCCTATGCACATGAAAATGGTAAGGTATTTCAGCTGCATATCATGTGAATTTGGCAGTCTTTGGAATATGATAGAGATATATTTTTCATTGCGTATGGAATATTACAATCCTGTTTCAACTTCAGGTAACAGTGCAGTTTAATATATAAATATATATATATTAAATGCATGGTGTCCCACAATTATTGCGAAAAAATAAAAGTGTATTTTCTGCAGACCCTCAGAAATTACAGACAATTTTTAAAAATATTATTCCTTTATTATTTAAATAGATACAGGGGATCTTCTACTTCCAAATTTGGAATCCAAATCTTCACTAGATCACAATACACACTAGATATTATAGAATTTATAGAAAAACGAAAAGGCACATGGCATAGCCGGCTCAAATCGCGCAACAGGTTCACTAATGGCGGCCAAGTCGCGTTAGCTTGTAAAGATGTCGAAAGACTCGAAGATTGCGAGAGAGGGCGACGCTCAACGAAGCAATCCGAATCAGAAAATTACATTAAACCGCGAAATTTAAAATTTTAGAAATTATAAATAATTTTGTTATTAATTATTATTGTTCCCTGCATGGTTTATAGCAACAATTAAGTATTTACAATAGTTATTAGATAATAATGATTATTATTTGATACATAAAATAATAATTATTTTGATTGTAATCTTTTTATAGAGATGAAGAACTGGATTTTTTTAAATATTTGGCGCAAAACTTGACAAAAACATTTTTTTAAAACCTATATAATACATTGTATTATATTATAACTATTATATTATGTCAGTAACCTTAAGCTGACAGATATCTGTCACCTTTCATCATAGGACAGGTGACAGATGACAGGTGACAAATGACAGGTGGTAAATGACAGGTGACAAATTACAGGTGAAAGTTAATTAAAGTTGTTACTTTGCATCATAATTATGTTAACTGGTGACAAATTAGCCCGGATCCGATTGCGTCTGTCGACAGACGCAATTAGGATGTTAACAGAATTCTTGAGATGTCGTGTAATATTTGTGTTTCGGTATAGGTACATGATATTCTTAGGAACAGCATAATCTGTTTTTCATATGCTTTCGATAATATGACAGGAACATGAATATCACCTCAGGTATATACTAGACATATCGGGAAGGTCTGGAGCATATGAATATCATATACTGTGCTACTTGGGTAAGCAGCCAATATTAAAGTGGCAAAATGCGCTTTAAAGCGACCGAAAAAAAGAGCGGCCGACGCAAAAAAGGCAGAAACCTTTATCCAATGTATGTTTAAGTATCATATGCAAGAAAGTTTATCGTTACAAAGTACTGATTGACTCTTTGATTTTGCGCCCCCGAAATGTTGCGCCTGCGTGCGTGCACGCACTGCACGCTCGCCAGGAACGGGCCTGTACTAGGGTAAAGTTTAGGAAATGGGTAATAATTTAATATGTATAAATGAAGATATGTTTTATTAATTTGATGCTTTATTTAAAAGAATATCAGTCTTAAACAATAATCTAAAAATTAGCCTTTGTTTTTTTATATTACACTGCACTATAGTGTTACTACACATTCAGTCTATACAAATAAATTTTTATATGTTATCACAAAATTCTATTTTAAAAATAGTAAAATAAATTGAATACTAGTTTTATTTTAATTATAATTACATACTATTTTCTAAGCAAACATGTATTGGATTTTAAAAAAATTGCACAAATCTTTGGTATGGTTCAGAGTTCTTCCACCCTGGTATGGTTATTAATCTATGATGATTTTAACAAAAAAAATTACCTACTCCCGCCAAAAAATTGTTTAATTTGATTTTCGATTATTTATAGAGGGTGTCCCGAAAATAACACACCCACAGTACACCTCGTTGTAGGGGTAGGTTTTAAGTGTAAACAAATTTTAACATATTTTTTTGACAAATAATAAAAATTGAGTTTTTTTTCTTTATTTTAATTTTTTTTAATGTAAAGTTCAAATTTGTTATAATAATAATAATTTAAAGTTTGTGTTTTCTGACTGTCAACTTAACTTAACTTAAATTCCAGTTGCTGTTAGATGCCTACGTAAAGTTCTTTTTTTTTATCGACTGCGGCAACGTTGCAAGTTTAGGGTTTTGGTTGGTAAATACAGTTGTCAAGTTGGTCGCATTGATTAAAACTAAACTAAGTTAGTTATAAATCTAATTGTGGTTATGTATAAATTATTGTAGGTTACATTGGGCAGTTGTTAAGTTGAGTTGTCGAAATTCGTAGTTAAAAATGCAATTAATTTGGCTTTGGTGGTGCTTGGATGAGTAAAATCATATAAAAAAGTAGTTAAATATAGGTTGCTTTACGGCCCAGAAGAGAAAGTATTCCTAGCGGATAATAATCTTCGCTTTAAAAGGAATTTATATAAAAGAAATTAAAATTTTTTGTGAACGTAAATGTTGTCCAATGGTGAATAATGTGAAATTAATGTGTGATGTAATATTTATAAAACCAAATTCGTTACTTTTTTACTCCAAAAATGTCCATAAGGTGATTTGGCATAATTTCATCAAAATGCTCTCAATAGGGCTTTTACATTCGAATTCGTTGCTATTATTTTAGTCATAATTATCTTTTTATTTATAATTGACAAGTAAATTATCAATAATAAATATTATTGTCAATTTGACAGTGCCAAAGTATTTAATTAAATTCTTTAGCAGAAGTTCCAATTTTTAAATACTAAAAATACTAAGTCAAACTAGCATAAGCCACCAACCCATAGAGAAACCACCAACCTAACAAAAAAACACGAGTCCAGATAAAAAAAAATGAAGTGTACAGCACAGTTAACTGTGCTGTACACATCACTAATTAGTTTATAAACTTGACTCAAAAAGTGGGTGTGCCGTTTTCGGGGCTGTATTTATGGTCTAATTTTGTCTATTTAAAAGATTCATTTTTGGGCGGCATTTTACAGATTATACTTAAATATAAAAATATAAAGGGTTTCCCTAAAAAATTATATTTTGCACTATTTTAGTACACTGTATATTAATACATTTGACTAGATAATTAAAAATTACGTTCTATGCTATACTAAAATAATAAAAATTCGCGAAGTATACTTGGAAATATTAATAGAGGACTATGGTTGCTATAGCTATAGCTATAGCAACCATAGTCCTCTATTAATATTTCCATAAAAAAAACATACATAAAATCCTGGGATATGCAAGTTTTTTTTAATAAAAAATAATCTAATAATACACATTTTTCTGCATTCAACACTATAGGAATTACAGTGTAGGTGCCCAAAACAATGTACAATGCTCCACTTATAAAAGCCCCACCACTTGAGTTTTATAGAGAAAATGAAGGTTAATTTTCTGTCAGTGTCAAGCAAATTTCGTCCTATTTTCTAAAAATAATGCAATATATGTATTTCTCGATTTTTATGTAAGAATGTCATATTCTCGCACGCAAAATCGTTGAAGAATGAAGCTCATTCTTAAACGATTTTTGGTAACATTTAGTTTTTAAGTATTGGTACCCCCAAAATGTCAAACTGATTAATAACCTCAAATTCATTACTTTTATTGAAAATGAAGCCTTTATTATTGTTTTGTAATATAAAGTTTGCTCCAACAATGCATTTTAATGCAAAATTTTAAGTTTAATGTGTAAAAGTGCAGTTCAGGTTGTACTTGTGCAGGATAACAAATATTGTCATTTTGTGTTGCCAACTGACATTTTGCGAGAAAAATCCCCTAACTAACAACGACCACAAAATAAAAACCTAAATAAAAGTTAAATAAAAACCTAAATAAAAGTTAA